TATTATGATAATAAAGTAAAATATTATAGTATTTTATATAGTACATTATATCCTATGATACTATATTATAATATATTAAATTAAATAATATATTATTAAAGTATTATATTAAATATATTGTTCATATATTATATCAGTTATTATATAATGTAGCATACTAATATAATGTAATATAATATAATAATTAATAATATTAATTAGTAATTATAGTATAACATATTATATTTTTGTATAAATAAAATAATGTATTATTAAAATATTATATTAAATATATTGATATTATATTATATTAATTATTATATAGTATAGTTTGCTAATATAATATAATAATTAATAATATTAATTAGTAATTATAGTACAACATATTGTATTTTAATTTAGAGAAATAATTTTTTATTATAATAATATACTAAATAATACACTAAACCAATTGGATAAGTTAATTTAGAAATAATTAATAGATAAAATTATATTTTAATAAGGTACCACTTAAATCAAATTTAGAAAATATTTTAGCATTATGAATGTGATTTAGTAGATCTCTTTTATTAGGAATATGATATCTTATCCATTTTATGACATTATTTAATGGCTTATAATTAATAACTAATCGAGATATTCCTCTTTCTTGTTCTGCATGTTTATTAACAAAGAATGCAGTACAACTTCAAGGGGAATATGATTTTCTAATAAGTTTTTTTTTCTATAAGAGAACTTATTTCATTTTTACCTAATTCAAGATATTCTTTATTTATTTGGCATGGTCTATATTTTGTAGGTATATCTTTTTCGTTAAAATTATCAATCTATTCCTTTATACAAATAGGAGGATCAAAGAATCACTTTTCATAGTACAGTAAATTGAACAGTAGAATTATCACTGTAGCAGAACACACCTCACACATGAAAAATGAGCGGCTGACTTCAAAATTTAAAGATTCAAAATTCAAATACAACTAAGATAATGAAATATTCCATTCTCCCTCCAAATTCATAATAATAGGTTTACATTCAAACTTCACTCAAGAAAACAACCCTCACTACATCAGGAAAAATTACTGTAGCCGCCAGTATGCAAAATCAGAGCAGCAGCCAACCAGGAATCCATTCAACCCAAAGAAAAAGAGTGAAGAAAGGAAACCAAGGAGAGAGCAGCAGCTAGGAGCAATACAAAACAACACGATGACATAAAAAAAAGAAAGCATCAGCAAGAAAAAGACGAAGAAGAAGTGAGCAGCGGCCAGAAGCAATACAAAACAACAAGATGGCATAAAAAAAAGAAGCGTCGGCAAGAAAAAAGACGAAGAAGAAGAAGAGAAATAAAAACTTAGAAGAAATAGCAGATAACTTACCTAGCTAAAAAGTTGATCAAGATTTCTGCTTATGATCTGGAAAAAAACACTAAAAAAGGTACTTAATTTTTGCATGTAATTACTAACACTAATGGAGGAACAATGAAAGGGAGATATTCCCAGAGTGCATTAGAAGATAAATGTATTAAGAAGTGCTTAATAATCAAACTGCTTCATATTAGAAGATAAATGTATTAAGAATTGCGTAACTAATGCCTAATTTTGTGCAGAACAATGAAAGGGAGATATTCCCAGAGATTATCAAATCAATTATTGGAAAGACTAAGTTCAGGTTAAGCTAACAAAGTACAACTTCGAAGAAGGTAAGCAATTCTTTTGTTTGATTAATGATCGAAGAAGGTAAGCAATTCTTTTGTTTGATTAATGATCTAATACATTTATCTAATATATCGCAATAATATCCTACAAATTTAAAGATAGCTTGATCTAATACATTTATCTAATATATCGCAATAATATCCTACAAATTTAAAGATAGCTTTACATGTATTTTCATAGATTTATTTTTATAATGATGAAACAGACAATGAGAACTACACTGTTACAAAACTTATCGAAGCTATTGAAGGTGATTCACAGGTACAAACCTAAATTTTAAAGTTATCGAACTTATCAAAGTTTAATAACTATGAACTAATGTTAAGCAAGTATAATGATTATTAAACATAAAATGTTATGTTCTGATTATGGTGGTAGTTATATTTTTTTTTTCAAAAACGCAAAACTATATACTCTCATGTGCTCATCTTCCTAATGAATGAATTCAATAATAGATAGATCAACTGAGAATATATAAATTTGTGTTGCCAATTAGATCAATTATGGAAATCAAAACTCTCAAGTACCACAACAAATTAGCACAAATGTTAGAGAACCAATTGGACTAACAATGCTCATCTTAAGCAGGTATGATTTCATTGAGCAACTTATAGGCTATTTATATATATGCCCAATTTTATTTATAGATTTTACCAAATTAGTGCATACATTCAATATGATTCTAAGAGAGGAAAAACAACAATTTATAACATTAAACTCATAAACTTCATGAGAAAATAGATTGCTTAAAACATAATTTTTGTGAAGCATAACATTTGAATTAATAAATTATGAACCATCTATACTACTGATAATAACTTTTTCATCATACATGTAGGAATACTCACAGTGTGAACACCTTATGAAGGCTTCGGAAGCAACAATTTATGATGTTGTATATTTCGATGCTCTATGAATTTGTAGTTATAACTGATATTTTCCTTTCCTCAAAACATCAAACAAATTAAGAATGTACATCCAAACTATTCATGCTACCCAGTCACGCTAAATGGTGGATGCACTAGAACAAAGAAACTTAATGATAATAGCATATGTTTTTTATTTATCAATTTAATTTGTTATTGTATACTAAAATGCATATGTATTTGTTTTTTGACAGCGGTATATACAATAGAGCTATTGTAACAATGTAAATACTATAAAGATAAACCAATATAAGTATTTTCACTCTAAGATACGCCTTTCGAAAATTAACTATGTCCCAAGATTATGACAATGAAACAACACAAAGTAATTAAAATACACTAATTAAAAACTTACGAGAGTTGATCACTTAAAGGTAATTTTTTCCTCAAAATATATTTCAACCTGTTCAAGCTTTCATTTTAACTTATGCATGCAATTCTTTCCTTGCGATAATTTTCTTACAAAGTTCGCACGTCTTATAGCCATTTGAGCAGCAATTAAGAAGAAAGATCTATACTGCCTCAAATTTACTCAAGTAGTTCCTTACCTTTAGTATGAAGAAAAAGCCACAAAAGAGAGTTAGTTAAAACTTCAAATTGGACTAACAACACTCATCTTAAGCAAGCAATTTAAATGAGCAACTTATAGGCAATATATATATCCCTAATTTTATTTACAGATTTTACCAAATTAGTGCATCCAGTCAATAGGATTTTAAGAGAGGGAAACATCGACTTATAATATTAAACTCATAAACTTCATGAGAAAATATAGCATAAGTTTTTTATTTGTCATTTTAATTTGTCATTGTATACCAAAATGCATATGTATTTGTTTTTTGACAGCGGTATATCTATTCCTTTATACAAATACTAGGATCAAAGAATAAACTTCATGAGAAAATATAGAATGCTTAAAACTTAATTTTAATTATCTGCTTAATTCATTTTACTATGTGTTGTAATTTATTCACATGTAGACTATTTCATTTAACTGTATTTGTGGGAATAAATTACCCTTTGCATTAATGTATATAGCTTATTTGGATATCAAAAAATTGAGAACATTTCTTAAATAATCTGAATCCATGTAAAGACTATAAAGATAAGTCAATTATTATAAGTATTTTTACTCTAAGATACGTCTTTCAAAATTTAACCATGTTCTAAGATTATGACACAGAAACAACACAAAGTTAATAAAGTACACTAATTCAAAACTTACCAGCGTTGATCACTAAAACGCAATTTTTTCCTCAAAATAAATTTTACCCTGATCAAGCTTTCATTTTAGCTCATGCATGTAATTCTTTCCTTGCTATAATTTTCTTGCAAAGTTCACCCCCCTTATACTCATTTGAGCAGTAGCTAAGAAGGAAGATCTCTACTGTCTAGAATTTACTGTCAAGCAATTCCATGCCTTTAGTGTGAAGAAAAGACACAAAAGAGAGTTAAGACTTCAAATTGGACTAACAACGCTCATTTCAAGCAAGAATTTTAATTAAGCAACTTATAGGCAATTTATATATATTTCCAATTTTTATTTACGGATTTTAACAAAATAGTGCATCCATTCAATAGGATTCTAAGAGAGGAAAAACATCGACCTATAACATTAAACTCATAAATTAGTGCATCAATACTTTATACTTTCTTTTTATACCAACTCCCCATTGTTCAACGAGAACTTTCTATTTACAGATTAATTTGTACTTTAGACTTAAAAAACATTCAAAGCTTTTTACTGTTACAATTCATCGTTCTAGAAAAGGAACTCCATAATGAAAATTTAAAACCTAAGCAACATAAGTCAGTTAAATAAACATAAGATACAATCACTTCTTCCCAGTTAAATTGGAGTTACAGAAGAAAACTGAACAAATATCAAGCCAAATTTGATTGACCAGATAACTATATCTCATTTCATTTATTCACATCTTACTACAGTAACCAATTCATTTTTTTGTAAATCAGTCAGACACACTGAATAAATAACTAGATAACATGAATTAAACTCACCAGTATCTAATAGAAAACAACAACTTTTCCATGTTAAAAACTCAAAACGCTGACCTATTCACAAAAATGAAACAAATTCCATTCATTCATATAAATTAGGAAACACATAAAAAGCAGGATGAAGAAATAGCTAAAATTTCACAATGAAACTGAACTAGATTTCTAGGAGATAAGATAGATCAACCAAATTTAATGAATCAAACATGAAATTGAGCATAAAAAATACCAAAAAAAATAGGGAAACAATAGATTAACAAAATTTCATGATTTTGATATCAAATTATTCATCAACTATTCGACGAAAGGGAATATCATGGAGAAATTGTACCTGTAATTGCCGAAATCCAACAAATCAAGCAAAATCCAACGAAATCCCTCAAGGAATGCAGTGAATCACAAATTAATATGGACATGCAGAGTCAAAAAGTACACAAATTAATTGCAAAAGGGTTTTTTTACCTTTCCAATGAGAAAAATCAAAGAATCATGACAGATCTAAAGAGATCGATGGAAGTGGGCGTCGTCGCGGGGAGGGAAGACGGCATCGTCGGAGAGGGGGGAGAACGTCGTCGCGGGGAGAGATGACAGCGTTGTCGGAGAGGGGGGAGAACGTCGTTGCGGGGAGAGAGGAGGGCGTCGTCGGAGCGGGATGGGGACGAGGGAGTCGTCGGAGCGGGACGAGGGCGTCGTCAAAGCGGAAGGAGGGCATCGTCGCGACTAGGAGGAGCACAGATCGTCGATGGGGACTTGGGTTGGGGAGTTCGGCTTCCAATTGCCAGTTCTAGGGTTTATGAGATGTGAGAAACATATTTATATGTGGTCATGAGATGTTCGGAACAAATCTCAACCGTTGGTTGATGATCCAAAGGATATGTGAAGCCCTAGCTCACTTAACAATGTCTCAACCGTTGGTTGATGATCCAAAGGATATGTGAAGCCCTAGCTCACTTAACAATGTATATTTATATATAGGTAGAAGTTGTAATGAAAATTTTGATAAATTACATAGAAATTTCAACTTAAAAGAGAATTTGTAAATATAAATAATTACTTTCTTTTGTAGAACAACAAGAAAAATGACAAATGAAAAAAATAGATAATAGCAAGACAAATTTAAGCTACTTTACTTTTCTAAAATAACACTCCCTCGAGATATAAAATAAAAGTACCTCTTCAATAGTAAATGGCTGCAAAATTTTGCCTTTGACAAAATTTTGGAAAGAGATATTTAACTAATTTAGTAATATATTAAATTGGTGATTCTTAATCTAGGAAATTTAGAGTTGGCATTATATATTCTTTAGACCAAGAATGTATAAACATCAGATGACAATATTTTTGGTAACATATATTTTTATATGATATATGATTTTTAATTTTAAGTGTATAATAATCAAATCAAATGTATTAAAATTTAAAAAGACATAAATTTAAAATACAATGATAAAAAAAATTAGTTGACGTGCTTTGCACGGGGCACATACTAGTGATATAGAACTGGGAATCACATTTTGTGGAAAAATTCTTAGTTACTCGTGGAGCACCTAAGTGCCTATACTGCTCTAAAATAGGAAAGGGATATGTATCACTAGGGGGATGGGGGGTGTGATGTCACATTCTCCCTTCTAGTGCCACATGCCCCTTTCCTATTGGAGGGATGTAAGCATCTTGCTTACTCCATGAGTATGCAATATTTAATAGCTTTGGTTTGGTGTATCCCGAGGGAGAGAAATAATAGAGTTTTTTTACATAAAAGCACAATTCTCTTCAAATACGGGAAGAAGTTACTTATTTTGCTTTATTTTGGTTAGACAAAAACTTTATTGTAGCTATTACAATTGGAGATGGAACTGATGTGATGTGGAAACCGTACAGGGAGCTAGGAGATACATGGTGGCTCCGGTGATGCGTTGGGTTCAGCATGAGCAGACAATGTCAGGAGTACACCGTATATCCAACCCTTTTTGATAGTAAGCTCTATCTAGAATCTCAAGTTGAGGTGCCAACATTTTTCTCCAAAAAAATTAATTAATATTTTCTAAATGTTAGAATTAATATAAAACTATAATATTCGATTCTCACCATAACTTTGGAGTTAATTTGGTGTAATGGTTAGAGGAGCTAAATTTAAGATGGTATCAGAGCAACTCAGGTTCAAATCCCACCGGCCACGAATTTTAAACGAGTTTTCTAAAAATTGACACCGCTGTGTGAGTCCAGGTTTTAGCCCATAAAAAAGGACGTTCATTCTACGGGGGCATGTTAGAATTAATATAAAACTATAATCCTCGACCCTCACCATAACTTCAGAGTTTTGGTGTAATGGTTAGATGAGCTAAATTTAAGACTAAATCATTTCAAAAATCCTAACAAATAGGATCAAATCTGTGATGGGGACACTGGTGAATGAAGCACAAAGTGCTTTTGTTAAGGGGAGGCAAATAACAAGCAATGTTCTCCTTGCACATGAACTGGTTAAAAATTACAGCAGGAAGCATATCTCTCCTAGAGTTATGCTTAATGTTGATATCAAGAAAGCTTTTGACACAATCAACTGGGATTTTCTCAATGATATGCTTTCTGGTTTGGGATTTCCTGAAACTATGATAAACTGGATTATGGCCTGCATTACTTCTCCTAAATACTCTATTGCATTAAATGGATCTTTGCATGGCTATTTCAAAGGTAAGAGAGGACTGAGACAGGGAGATCCCCTCTCACCCTATCTCTTTATTCTAGGAATGGAGTACCTCTCAAGAAGCCTAAATCTGCTTAAAGATGACAAGAAATTCAAATTCCACCCAAGATGTGGCAAATTTCGTATCACTCACTTGATTTTTGCAGATGATCTCCTCTTATTTGCCAAGGGTGATCAGTATTCTGTTAGTAAACTCCAGCAATGTTTCAAAGACTTCAGCTCAGTGTCAGGGCTTGAAGCAAACTCAAGTAAATGCTTGATATTTTTTGGAGG